ATCTGTCACTACCATGACCCGAAGAGAAAGCCGGAAAGTCATGGTAGTTCAGAAAGTTCTCTGAAAACTCATTTGGCTTTTATACTGGCGTGGATATCTACTTTTTCATACGTTGAGCTGCGATATTTCCAGCCCTATAACTCAAAAACAGTCAGTTCTTCATTCAATGAAGAACTGACAAATGTTTGACAGTTGTACAGGCTGATTTTACACTATTATAATTGGTGGTGCTTATGGAAATTGAATCCAGTAATGCGTCAGACTGATATATTTTTAGTGAGAGTTTGTACATTTGCAATAATTTTTCTCTTTTTGAATAATTAAATGTAAAGTACCATTTACGTTTTAAATACAAAACCCATTCATGCATTAGCTGCTGTCGACGATAGTACTGAACATCAGTTAGAACAGTTATTACAACAAGAAAGAAAAGATCACATAGGGAAACGCATTGCACTTATTCCATATCATTTGGAAAATTCACATTGGGTTGGAATTTTAATCGAATTTACAGAGAACGAACGTATTAAACGAGCCGAATATATTGATTCAGTAATTGGGAGTAATATTACTCCAGAAAAATTGCAAAGCCACTTTGCTCAAGTTTATCCAGATGATGTTTTGCAAGTAAAACATTTGCAAAAAGAAGACGATCATCTACATAGTGCCGCATTAACTATTGAAAACTTGTTAGTAGCTGCAAACGTTAAGCATCCAACAGTTATTGAATGGTCAAAGAAAGAAGAATCTATTCTGTCGCCAACTACACATATTCCAAAGGAAGGTAATGAATATGAACGTCGTCAACTAGGACAGAAATTAAAAAGTGATTGGAGCAAAGTGGTACCTCGAGACGTAAGAATGTTGTCAGGAAAAATACGACGAACAGTAGACGAAACCAATGTATATGAGGAGCAGGAAAAAACGGAAGATGTTGAGGAAGAAGTGAAAAATGTTTCGTCTAGCTCTTTACCGGATGACAAATCAAAAGTTCATGAATTGAAAAAGAAGTTAGATAACGGTCTGGTAAAGATTCACCTACAGAATGTGGATGAGTTGCCAGGAAAAATACAGGATAG